AGCGCCGGCGGCCGTGTTCCTTAAGAGTGAACTTGTCATGACGCGATCGTGGGCGGCAGGAATTAAGGGAGGTCAGAGAAAAATCGGAGAAAAATGGTGCCAGTCCCATTCCTTGGAGTCCGGCATTGCGCGTTCGCATGTTTTCTATGATTCAGAAACAATAGCTTCGGATAAATCTGGCATTTGATTTACCTTGTGGAATTTTGGTTCGAAGGCCTGCGCGCCGGATACAATGACACATGCGCAACGCCCTTTGGCAGGGTGGGGGGCGCATTGCTTCCCGAGACAAATGTCTAAGCAAGGAATGGCGTGATAAGCCTCGCTGGTGTTTGGCTTGATTCGTGGCATCGTAGCGTCCTCGAAAATCTTGTATCCCCTGACCAGAAGCAATCAACTTGTCGGCGAAAACAATCGCGCTCACTATAGCAGATTGAACACCGTCACCAGAAAGGGACGAGTTGGTGGGGATACCGGCTGGCATTCATGGCTCAACTTCGCTTCTATTCCAGACTCATACTCACGATGAATGGGATCAAATTGCGTCTTAGAAGGCTGCGTCAGTGAGACCAACGCACGTATCTTATTGTTCTCATGGCTGAACGTCATGGTCTGGGCTTAATCCTCCGGAAGTCACAATTCGATCCGATCCATTGTCAGAAAGAAATGAACGGGAGTCTCTCGATGGTGGACGCCAGGGAGACCCAGGTACGTATTCATATATCAGCATTCATTCCGTTCAGCTATGAGGGTTTTCTTGGCCAATCACGTGATATCGCTTGACTTGCTTACCGTGACATGAGCAAGTCATTTTCTGAAATGGAGTAAGAAGAACATCTCATTGCTTTTTTCCCTTTGCCAATACTACCATTAACTCCTTCAGCGGCCGGAAGCTCAGCCATAAGTAGACCACCTCTAGGAGCAGTAGGCAAATGGAATACCGTGTCATTCAACTACCAAGAGCTAGATGAAGAACATCTATGGGTAGACACTGGTAGTCCTTGAAGAAATCTGAATTCAAAATGTAGTACACTCAGTGAATTTGTACTTGTTCTCTCGAGACACCATGCTCTGTAATCAGACGTTCTAGCCCGGATTCCCCTGGCTCGGCGTTTGCTTTGATCTCCATTCGTCCCACTTTGTACGCCCGCCGACTACCATCAACAATCTCCCATTCCAGTATGAAGAAATAGAAGGTCTCGAGGTAGCCCTTGGTTACTTCCCTGATGTTTGTGGCCAGAACCATCATACCCCAGCTTCCGGCGGATAGTTGTTCGGCAATTCCTTCTCTGCCCGCAATATTGAGTCTATTTCCGTTCATGATGGGATCTTCCAACCACGCAACCGGTGTTGACCATGAGGAGGTTCGGGGTTCCGCCCAAAAAGAGACGGTAGTTTCCGATGTGTCCTCCGTGATAGTAAGAAAGATGGGGACCGAAAGAAGATAAACGTCGACTTCAAGAACGTGGAACTCAAGCATGGGCGAAACCTGTTGTCTGAGCTTGATACAGTCTTCTAGCGTATACGCGGGAGCGTGTTCATTCGTGCGGAATCCAATCCCAGTTGGCCACAGAAATATGTCATCTTTGAGTTGAATTGACTGTCCCCAAATAATACCGACGCCCAGAGATTTGGCCCAACTCCAGGTGGGAAACTTTGAGGAGTGTGGCCATTCTGGTGATTCATCTAGTGAACCAGTCCTTTCCCAATGCCAGCTTAGGCCAGATACAAAAAACCTTTCGGCCGAAATTTGATCATGGTAAAGTGCAAAGGGAATGCCGAAAATGTTGTAAATTGGAGCTGAGGTCTTTTCAAACTTCCTAGAAATCCCCCGCAGGCCATGGAAGATATCGGCTGGATAAGTAAAGTTTCTCTTTGAGTATGCGGTCGTGGTCAATTTGAACTTTTCGAAATTGTCTGTGATCGAGACTGAACTATCTTCAGTCGGAATGAAAACCATGACGGAGCGCCAACTGCTGATACTGGACACAGCCATGGCCAAGTCGTACTCTTCGACGATTTTCTTCGCGTTCGTACCAATGGGGTCCAAATACCCCAGGAGGTCGTGAGCCTTAGACTTCTCGCATTGAAGAAATGCTGAGGACTCGGTGAATATTAGTCTTCGGTGGGACAAAATGCTTTCTTGAAAGGTCCATCCTCGAGTATTCCAAACGGAGCCTTCTACTTCATCTTCAGGGTACTTGAGCTGAGCGAAGCTCAACGGCCCCTTTCTCCAAGTTTGCACAATTCTCTGTTTCCCAACACCGGGAAGCCCATAATTGTCGTCTCTTCCTGCGGCTGCAATAATTGTCAAGACGGCGCATGCGTAAATCTGGTCCATGATCTGGATCTGTTCCATTTTGTCGCTCTCATCGTCTTGGCGAATACAATATCTATCTACCCAGAGATATCGATATCCTAGATTGAGTGTCACCGAAATCGCGTCCGCGATGGTTCGTGGAAGGTCTCCCAGTTCTGTGTTCGAAGATGGCGTGGCTGTGGCTGGAGCCGAACCCCAGACGTAGCTGAGGGCGACATAGCGTGAGCCCTTTTCTGCTCGGATGATACGCCTCTCAACGCAGTCAATAAGTCGAATGTGTGGTGTCGGGCGGCTTTGATTCTTCAAGCATTGGGGATGATGCTCGTTGCAAGTTTGTAGCCACGTTCTCACGAGACCAAAGTCCACGAACTGAGACGTTAGACGGGGCTCAAACAACCCCGACATCCCTGAGCCTCTGACGCAGACGAGGGGGTCTATCATTTTGGACGCCTTTTCGTCAGGGGGCGTGGCTGGTACTGCGGATATGTAGAATGCGTTCTCGATTCCGTCCCGTCCAACATTTTGGTAAGCCGTCGGGGCCCAGCACTTTGGGCCTTTGCCACCATCCCTAAAAAAGCGATACCAACTCTTCGGTCGGTACCATCGGTCAAACGCCACGAGTCTTTCGAACGGCCTTCCACATATTCGCTCGAATCTCATTTTATCTGGATTCAACAGTTTCTTGAGAAGGCTTTTGCAGAACCAGCATGAGGGAGGGAATCCGTCGCTTGGATCTTGAACCCAATCTCCTTGCCACCGATCCCAGTCCGAGCGAGTGGTCAAGTCTTGAAGAGAAATGTAGTTGCGCGCATTTGCGGCTTCGTCCCACGCTGCCTCATCGAAGGCAGCCTCGAAGTCGATCCGCGCGCAATCAGCACACAAATTCGTGTCAGTGGGGCTATTGTGGACATTGTTGCCTGTATCTCCAGCGATAGGGATGTCTTTGCGTTCAGAAATAGCGGGATTTACGTGACACGAAGACATTGCAGACTATCCGGAGAATGAGTATGAAACAATCACAAACGTTTCTATCAGGTGTGATCAGGCCATGATGCGAGTTCAATCTGACATGGAAAAGCTGGCGGAAGCGGGGAAGCCTCGCCTCCGTCGACCTGCATGGGTCCAGGTGCAGAAAGCCAATGACGTTCTCACGACCCTGGTTGGCGTTCACGCTATTGTAATGTTGAGCGATTACTGCGGCCGTCAGGTGTGGATAGTCGTCCTGAACACTGGGAGGTCAACAGCAGCGAGTTCTTTTCAATTGCATGGCAGATACTTTCTTATAATCGGTCACGGTAGGCTTCAAACCTGATTTAGTTCTACGTCTTGATGTGTACACGCCAGAATCAAAATATGATAGAGAAGTTGCCTTAGTGCAATGGGTCGATTGAGAGTACATGGAATGTTTCTTGCCGAGGTACCTAGGTAGTCACAATAGCAATTGAAGCCCGAATTTCAGGCTGAGTATCAAAGACATTTCTTTCTCTCGCAACTACCTAGGTGATTGACGAGTCGCGGTCACGGATTACATGGTTCGGTAAGTCCCATTCTCGTCATCCCTGACGAGACCCCAAGGGTGCCACGAGGTCTGGAAGCTTGGACCGATCTATGAATCGATCGGGTGAAACCCGTAATCCCCTCATCATACACTGCCATTCCTTGAGACAACTTATGGAGAGAAGGAAGGGGACTAATTTGGTGGCGGGGCCCGACATGCCGACGGCGTTGCGCAACTTCCGGCCTCCGACATCAGGACTTCTGATGGCGTTGCCAATCCGTCAAGAGTTGAGAACGACTCATTTGACCTGTTTGAGTACTGCTGTTGTGGTTGCCAACTGAGCCTTGGCAGCATAGTGCTTTCCAAGCCACTGAGCTTGTAGTCATGAAATCGGAGACAAAGGTCAAAGCTCACCATCGAGGAACACTGTCTGTGTCAAACGAGGTGTCCCGTGAGGGTGAGCCTCTATCAAAAGATGGCCCAGGGTATCTCAAAACGAGGAAATGGGCAAATTATCGCCGATGTCGCCGACGGCAGAGTCATGGCAATGTTCACTAATTCAACGCTTCGCTAGTCAGGCTGAAGTCTATCCTCACGTGGCAAAGCTGTTGCTGACCATTTCGCGAGACGTTCGTATTTCCAGTAGCTCTAGTCATTGACGATTGGGAACCCATGCTCTTTCCAGACCCTCTCCCGCCGGATAACCCGCCCGATCTAGGTGGGCAGCGCACATTCTCCGCGGGGGACAAGGTTTACTGTAGGCGCTCTGCTTCCCCAGTGGGCGCACCACACCTGTGTAAACGCCATTTTACCTTCAAAGCATCACATGTTGCCATGTATGTGGTACAAATAGTCGCCGTCATCTCTGGTTGACAACTAGGTATGAAACAGGAACTAAGAGGTGTTCTTTTACTTAGACTTTGCAGCGACGCGACCTGCGTCGGATCGTTCACGGTACCCTGCGCGCCTATTGGAGTAGCAACAAAAGAGTTTCGGGCTAACCTCAAACCATGATTCAAGGTTTAGCTAGTAACTTGGAAGAAGATTCTTAGAAGACAGGCTGAACCTAGGCGTGTAAGGGCGCACATATCCTCAAATAATGAGGGGTTGCGTTATATTTGCTGCCCACCACGCTTTCGAACGTCTCCATCGGTTCCTCATGGCCTTCTTAGATGCCCGTTCACCATGTCAGCCGCGGCGCAACGCGGGACACTGGCGCCTCTCCCAGAAAACCACCGGCTGGGCTTGATCGTCTTGACGGCTTTCTCGCTTTTATCATTCGTGTCGACTACTGCCCTGTGGCTTTTCATCTCGTACAAGCTCCTTTCAGAACGTTTAGAAGAGAGAAGGCGGAAGAAGCGAAGGGCCCGTCGACGAAATGCATCCGCCGCAACAGCTGCCGCCCCGCAGTTCCCCGACCTGTCCCTCGGGCTCGATGCCCCATGCTCCGGGGCCACCGGCTTTGAGCGTATTCTGGAGCTGGACCGATTAGCTGCGGAAGCCCAACAAAGACCGCCCGACACCATTTCTCAAGAAGCCGATGAAGATGCCGAACCACAAGTGCGCAACCCGTTTCCGATTCTTGTTTACAATCTTTTGCTTGCGGACATGATGGAGGCCCTTGCATATGGGCTGAGCTCCTATTGGGTAGCAGTTGATGGTATCTTTGCACCATCAGGGGTATGTTGGGCGCAGGGCTGGTTGGGGTCGACGAGCAACTTAGCGGCCAGTCTCTTTCTCGCAGTAATTGCGGTGAACACTTTTTTGACTGTGGGGTTGGGTATCAAGCCACCACCATGGGCAGTTTACACGGCAATTGCTGGGCTATGGATCTTCGACTTCAGCATCAACGGAGCGGGGGTCCGGGTGGCTGAAGCGGACCCAGAGACTCCCGGCGAGTCCTTCTTCATGAGAGCTAATGTGTGGTAAGATATCCCATTTCGCTTTGATTCAGTTGAATCAATGCAAACTTCTGAATGAACTGATGTGAACTCCATTGCATCTAGGTGCTGGATCTCGAATGCGTACGACCCATGGCGACTCTGGGCTCACTATTTCTGGGTTATAGTCTCTATCGGCATAACCATTATTCTCTACTCATTTGTTTTCTACACACTATGGCGACAGAAACGAAGCTGTCGTCATCTACCAGAGAAACGTACATCTATACACAGCGACGTGCCGTCCTTGAGGGTTGAGACTCCGCAACAACAGGAAGGCCCACGGCCGTCTGGGTACCACCCAGCCTTTCTCGCTTATCCCTTCGTCTATATAGCCTGCAGCGTCCCCTTGGTAGTAGGACGCATTACCTCTCTGCAGGGTATCGATCTTGGGGTCCCCTACTTCGCCTTTGCGGGATGCGTTCTGGCCCTGAACGGTCTGTTCAACTCGATATTGTGGACGACGACGATTCTATGCAGTGCGCCCAAAGACGCTCATGACACAGGACTCGACCGATTCGCTTTTATGAGAACCCCAATACGAGAGTTCGGAAACACCGTTATTATCAGCGGGCCTGCTAGCAGGAGAGTGCCGCTTTGGGAGATCACCCCTGGTAGTAGCCATAAGCGTTGGTGGTGGTGGCAGCACGGTGGCCAAAGAGGCTGGGGAAGAACAAGGTCTTACGCGAGTATGCATGACACGCCTAGTTTGCGATCAGTTGAAGTCCCTGCTTATGAGATGCAGAGTCCAGCAGAGGGTCCACAGATACAGATGGACGTCGTGACAGCAGTCAGCAGTGAGAGAGCAGACACGGAAGGAAAGTAGAGATGGATGAGATCCAGCCAGTTGTTTGGAATTATCCTGATTAAAACTTCTGCTTCAAGTGGCAGGTAATTGTCTAGTCACGAAAGAGTAACGGCCGGGGATGGACGCACCAGACATTCGGTGCCAGATTTGTAGACTGCTTGGATTCAATGTTTTCTACTATGAACAAAACGAATACCAGATGGTTCATGGTCAAATATGATACTCGTGACACGAAGTGAAGCTTGAAAGTCATGGATCATACTAGGCTTTACCTACGGAAGCTACGATTGGCCGGTTGGTTCACCATGCAGTTCTCAACTGCACCATGTATGATTTGGCCGAAAATGGCATCTTCGCCGCCAACATACGAGGCAGCTTGCATCCTCATCTCGCTAAGAAGAGGGGTAAATAGGGACACCTATTTGTAAACTTCATGAGACACTTCTTTCCACATCGCTGGCTTATCTCACCTTCGCTGCGCTATACACCCATATGCATTTGGGGCTTCAATCCTGAAGGCGACGCATCATTCAAGTAATTGGTAAAGCCACCACCTGCTATGACTGGCAGTACCACTGAAGCCTCTGCTACGGCAGGCCTGACAACCAGTGCGCAACCTCTATCCAGCATCCCCAGCCGAAGCACTACTAATCCAGCCTGCAGAGGACAACAATGATGCTCTTGTGCCTGACGAGGTTTGTTATACGTGAAACAATCCAAAACCGTCTTGGGGCTGCTATTGACCTTCTCATAGGTACTTGGAGACGACATCTCTGTAGCCGGGCAGGTAAGACCCCGCCTGTATGGGTGTTGTCATCCGCAGACTGGGCTCACTAGACATGTTAGGAGAGCCTGGCTTCATCGACCACGAGTGTGACGAGTTCCATCTTGGAATATAGAAAGGAAAATGGAAGAACTTATCATACCTACAATGACGGAAGTAAGTCTTCTGGGTTGCAGAATGAGCACAATGCTGAACAGTGTCAGAATACTCCATGCCGAACGACGAGAGAGAGAATAATCGCCTGGGTAAGTGGCATTTAGCTTGAAAGAAACTCTCCAAGTCGTATTGAAAGGTCTTAAACTGTTAGATCTGCAACATAATCTTTTCATCCGGACCTTCGATGATCGCCTCGGCACCGCGCCTCCCAATAACACCGGCGCAAAGGTTGGAAGGGTTCTCGACATCGGCACCGGCTCTGGTATTTGGGCCATAGACTTTGGTGACGAGCACCCCGAATCAGAAGTAAGCCCATCAAAACTCCCAACACGTACCATACTGGGACTTTTACTAACACTCCTGACCAGGTCATTGGCGTGGATCTTTCTGCTGTCCAGGCAGGCTTGTACGTCCCAGCTCCTTCCCTGTGGGAGCACAGAAGTCAGACTACGGCTGACTCACGTCTCACAGAGTGCCGCCGAACGTTACTTTCGAAGTTGACGACATCGAGGAGCCTTGGGCCTTCTCGAACGGGTTCGAATACATTCATAGTCGAATGATGACTGGGAGTATTAGTGATTGGGACAAATATCTCCAGAAGTGTTACGAGTGAGTTCGTCTCGAGCTCTCATTAGCCAAAGCAGAACTCTGAATTGCCTAATATGTACAGCAATCTCAACCCCGGAGGCTATCTAGAGCTCAACGACATCGATGCCGTGCCTCTCTCCGACGACGGAACCCTTACAGAAGACACGAACCTCATGAAAAGCGTCCGCCTGTGGCACGAGGGCCTCGCCGGCCTAGGAAGACATTTCCAGGAGTTCAGCCGTTTCAAGGACGCCTTGGCAAAGGTAGGGTTCGAAGACGTCCACATCAAAAGGTACAGGTGGCCGACCAACGGATGGCCTAAAAACAAGAAGTACAAGGAACTTGGTATCTGGAACCTTGAAAACATTGCCCCGCATTGGGACGGCTTCATCATGGCCCCCTTGACTCGAGCTCTGGGCTGGACGACGGAGGATGTTCTCGCCCTCGGCATGGATGCTCGTCGCGACTTTGCTGACAGAAGCATCCATGCTTACTTCAACATGTGAGAGAAATCCCATCCTACTTTTTGTGAGAAATATGCCTAACCTGTTTGACTTAGCTGGTCAATCTACGGCAGGAAGCCCTCGGCTTAATTTTGGAAGTAGCCGCGAAAGTTCTTTGGTTGAATCGGTTGAATTAAATAAATCACAACTAGCTCCTGTATAAACCAAAGGTTTCTAGATGATCTTCTGACAGGCCAAAATATCATAAATATGACTGACTGGTAGTCAAACTGATCTTGCCAATGGAAGAGCCAACCAAATGCCTCACCCAGCCTTTCTCATCGCCGCAACGATCTCTGACCATGTTACTCGAGATTGTTCAGGCCGTGGACTGGGATATCATGTATGGCTCATCAAAGTCACAGGGCTCATTCTTGCCGACCTTACTCTACGTGAGATCAAGGCTGGAACCCCCTTCCCACATTACCATAAATCCACATCCGTATCCGTACCTACTACAAGCGATGTTCGCTGTGTAGCCTATCTACGAAATAGCCGAGCCGAGTAATTCCTTTTTCCTGGATCCCCATCTCTAACCCCAGGACTCTTGAAAGGGACCTTCATATCAGTCGTCGGCCTGGGTTGTGCATGGACAAGGTTGGTGGAAACACCCGCCATGAATGAGATCAGTACAAGGATCTTTTGCAGGGCAAGGAATTCGCCAGCTCTCCGCGTTGTGCGCCGGATGCGATTCTGAAGTAACTTCATCTTTCAGTTCACAGCTTCATTCCGACCTTGCCATGGACGCCGACAGCGCCACCTGTCCCTAAGACAGTAACTCAACAGATAATGTCCGTCGAAACATCGTTCAGTTTTGGGGAAATGGCCAAAGAGCTGATGATGCGAGGTTTGAGCGGTATCCATCTCTTCCAGGGTGTCGTTCATCGTCGGCGTTCGATAAAAGGAGAATGGGACGGTCGCTTGAGCTTGTGGCGGCTTTGGAATCTTGGTGTTGTTGCAGAGACCGCGTCTCGAGCTACGATGGTTGAAGAGATCAGACTCTAGAGGTGCGGAAGAGTAACCCGCATTGGAAATGGATGGGTGCCTTTTGGACATCAAAGTCGCAATGGCGTTTGCCGATGGATCTAAGCGCTCCATATAGACTGAAGGTGAAAACCCGGCCCTTTCCCCCTCAACCTTTCGATTGCGCGGAATTCAATGATACACCTAAAGACAAGGGTTGAATGGAAGTGCTCCTCCGATCAATGTTTTCGGCCTAGGGCAATCAATATTGGAGATGCTCGAATGTTCTCAAGTAACTGGAGCAGTAAGCTTATTTCAATCATGCGGGGAACTGGTCAGGGAGACGGCGATCCCAAGCTTGACACCTGCAGCCGCTCCAATTAGACTGTACCCTCGGAAGTTGAAGTGCATCGAACGGCATATATATTTTCCCTTGTTACAGACATCAACCCCACGAGGTCAGTCTGCACATGCCATACCAAAGCGGGATTCCGCCAATGGAAAAGTCGCACGACAACAGAGCCAATGCGAGTGTACGTTCACATCATGGACGATATATCTGAACTTGATACTAAATTAGCAATCCCAAGCTGTAGCTGGTTCGGCCTTTGGAAGTAATTATTATAAAGCCACATTGAATGTCGCTGGTATTTGCCAGCTTGACCGTCTCCTCATAGTAAAGACAACTCTTGGAGATTCCCCTATAACAGACACGAGATGAAGGGAAAGTCCACCTTTTTCAGCCTTCTGGCCTTGCTTCGCTTTGTCGCTGGTGCTGCCGTGGGTTCCCACGACGGTACACGCCTGGATAGACGCGCGGAGGGTACCGCTGTCGTCAACCTTGCTCAGACCTCGGGTACTCCTCAGCACTTAGCTTCAGGCTTCATCTACGGTTTGCCCGACAATTCAGATGGCTCTGCCAGCACTGCTATCCCTAGGGAGCTCGCTGAGGGCACTGGGTATATATATAACCGTGCCGGCGGAGCTCAACTTCCCTCTCCCAGTCTAGGCTACGCTTCTGGCCAGCTCACGGTATGTCTGATGTCCACCCTGACACCGGATCCATTATCTGACAAGCTTCTACAGGGCCGCCTGCAATCCTTCTCTTCCAATTACAAGACTGCCAGGAGTCACGGTGCCGGCTTTCAGCTGCTCGTCCACGACCTTTGGGGCGCCGACAGCGTCCAGGGCACCATTCCTTGGCCTGGCGACAATGGCAATTGGGCGTTTTTTGACACGTTCCTTACTCAGGTCATTGCTTACATCAAGAATAACAATCTTCAAAGTGGTCTTGAGCTTGATCTGTGGAACGAGCCCGATGCTCCTCAATTCTGGGGTGCTTCGTACGATCAGTATCTGCAGACGTGGACACGCATGTATCAGCGCTTCAAGTGAGTTCCAAGACACCAAAGCCATTTGAATCGGGCCCACATAATGAAAGCAAGTAATAGTCACTAATCAAGATTAGGTCTGAACTTCCCAACGTCCCTATCTTAGGTCCATCCATCTCACAACCACCAACCACCGGCAACACTCGATGGACTGCTTGGCTTGACCACGTCAAATCAACCAACACTGTGCCAGACAAGTACACCTACCACATCCTCACCTCTACTGGCTCCGCCTACATTCCCCGCAATGCGCAGGACGCCTTGAAGAGCATGACCTCAGCCCGCGGCATGGCCATGAAACCTGTCAGTGTCAATGAGTACGGCGCCATCGACGGTGGTGACCAGACCAACTCAGCCAGTGCATGGTACATTGGCGCTTTCGAGCGCGAAGGCGTCTCTGGTCTACGTGCCCACTGGGGTATGGGCGCGGCCAATTTGCACAACGGTATGGCGGGCCTGGTCAACTTCTCGGGGAGCAACTACTTCCGCGCTGCGCAGTGGTGGGTGTACAATTACTACACCCATTCCATGACGGGCAACCGCGTCGCTACTACGTCTTCGGGAGACCGTCTATTCGAAGTCTACGCCACCCACGGAAGCAGTGCCAATTCGGTCAAGATCCTTACCGGCCTCAAGTCATCCGCTGGAGACCGGGTCTATGATGTGCGTGTCACTGGTCTCAGCGCCGTGGGCATTTCTGGGACCGTGAAGATCCGGACACTCCGTTTCAACCACGTCGACTGGTGGCTCGAGGGTCCCGCGCCTACTGATCTTGGTACTGTTACGCACACCGTCACAAACAATGAAGTTACCTTCTTTGTCGATCCGGACAATCAGTACACCGCTTATGCTTTCGAATTTGTCAGTTAGAGGGTCTACAAAGCACTTGGCAGAGAGTATGTATTGTCAGAGTATCAAATATGCATATATGTGTATATATACATCGATGATAAATGGTTGAAGTGGGCCTGCGTAATGTGGCTTCCCAAAGCACAGCATAGGTGATCGCAAACCATGACCGAGGACAACTTACACCATACCAACGAGAAGCCGGCAATAGTGGCAAGGTATATACTGAACTAGATCGTTAATTATGGTACTCAAAATGTGGCAAAGAGGAGATTTTCGGATGCCTGGTGTATTTTCTCCGTGTTGCCTGTCCCTTGAACATTGGAGGTTGATAATTCAAGCTTTCCATTAGAGCTTAGTAGACCTTGGCACGAACCTGTAAGACATCTCACAATGAGATAAGCTCATGATTAGGCCCCAGTGAGCCCCACCAACAATCCACTTCACTTGCATGGGCAAGGTCAGTCTGAAAGCGATCTGAGATCCCTGGTCGTCTTGTCTTCTGCCCAATCATGAGATCAATACATGTCACTGTCTTCTTGTAATTACTTTGTTTATCATCTACGACCACGTAAAGAAATTCTACACACATATATTTGATTTCGGTTTGTTTGGAAGCAGCACCACATCACTTGCTGGAAAGAGTTAAGTGCCCGTATGCTAAGATCACCTCTGGGTTTGTAATATGAAATGTGCAGCTGCCGTACTTGTCTTCAAATGATTTACTTCTACAAGGAACTCTGGGCCCAGCCTCACAACTAATCCCTCTCGCCATTGATCTAACATCGTCTCAGCCACCGCAAGGCACTTCTCGCTAGGCCGCCTGGACGGATCTTGCCAGCCAGCGGCTGCTTCCGCCAAAAGGTTTTCCAGAGACCGGAACGTGAAATAAAAGTCTGACTCAACATCACCCTGGCGACTGTTTTCCAGTACCCGATGAAACCACCTTCTATCGCCGGCTGCACTGATTAACACGCCAAACAATAGCGTTGTCGTGCTTGTTGCATGAGCATTACGTTTGAAAGAAATTCGGACCAGAGCTCCATGAGCTTCGGTAGCGTTGGAGCTTTCTGAGGACAACCGAGAGGCTTCAAATGGAGGTCCCGCAATCTGAAACTTTCTCATCCTAATAAATCCGGCTCTTGACCTCCTATGTCTCGGAATAGCATCAATACTCTCAATTGAGAAACCCTCAGATGAAGGGCTTGAGTCTGGGGAAACTGGAATGAGAAGAAGGACCGCATACTCGCCAAGACTATTCTTTGTGTCAGGATACGTAAGACGAGATTCTTGCTCACTGCTGTCGAATCCCCTCGAAGGGACAAAGATGTCGAGATGAGTCGCTTCGACACCATCCGTCTTAAGCGACAGACGGTTCTTCCAGCACAGCGCAATAGGCCTTGGACAGTCTCGCACAACCTTGTAAGTGCCCAACGTCGGTGTCTTTTCCAAAGGAATCCCGACGAGATGCCCATCCGTTGTACCTGCCGAGAGCACGGCGATGTACTCAAACGGGCGAAGCCAAATGTCCGAGCGGGGCAGCTCAGCAAGTCGGATGATTGGAAGCTGGATGGAGAGGCCAAAATTGGTCATCGAGTACGGCACCGGCCGACTGGATTCGTCCCTTGCAGGATGGTACTCCCGCGCGTTTCTAAAGTTACGGGGCGACGGCGCCAGCATGCTCGTCCACGATGGCGGATCATCCTCGTTCCAAGACCAGCAGAAGAGCGACTCATCTGTGGAGATTCTGAGTATCTCTTCCTGCAGCCGTGTGAAGGCCCTCGAGCCCTCGCCGTACAGCAGCGGCATGTTGATGTCGAAAATTCCGAGCATGCAGTACGCCATATCTTCCACGCGGGAAGTCTTGCGACATGATAGCCAAGACATCCTCTCTGCGACGCTGGCGCCGGAGATTGGCGCTATGCGCTTCCTCTTGTAAACCAGGTACGCGGTGCTGATACCGGTGACCTTGGAGATGGTTTCCACCAACGACTTTCGCGTTCCGACTTGTCTCCACTCCCGGGAGAAGAACAAGACCTGGCGGGGGGCTAGAAGCTCCTGCAGCGTCCAGCCGCGCGTGAACCACTGACTTTGAGATATCCTAGACAGCAGGGCATCTTTGGAAGCGGCTTCATCGCAGTCTTCGGCCTCGGAGACGTCAGAGAGGTAGGCGTAGCAAATCTCGGCGTCCCTGTACCACGCGAACATAGAGTTGATGGCCTCAGCCAGCTCAGCCGAGCTATCCTTGTCGATGCAGTTGGTGTCGATCCAGAGATACCCTATGTCTTGGCTGATTGCATGTCTCCGGGCGAGCTCAATCTTTTGGAACCCTGTCCTCTCGCGGGCGACGGCCATGTTCTTCCAGTCCTCGAAGGAGACCTCGTCTGGGCCCCAGGTATGGGAGAGGATCGCATAGCGGGGTACATTGTCGCCGATGAACTCTTCCAGCGCGAGGGTATTCACGTTGATGAGGCGCATGGCGTGGAGACCTTGGGAAACAAGTGCGGTCGACAGATGCAGATTGCCGTCTTTGTGCCTTGGCTTCGATTGGCCAATGATTTGCAACACTGTTTCAAGCGGTGTGGGAGACTTTAGTCACACATGTCAGCCCCCGCTGATCCACGTTGTTGTCGCGATAAAGATCCAGTATGTTGCGGCAGCTGGCAACGGCTGGCGAGGAAACTGGTTAAGGACGTTGAACCGTAAATGAACTTCCATAGGTATTCACAGGTGGTGGTGATAGTGGTGATGAAGTTATTTAATCGCTGGTACGTCCTTGTTTCCGACCGGATACTGGTGAACGGCAGGTCGTAAGGGTTCTTGTCTCATGAGTTGGGGGAAACGGGCTACCTGGTACTTCATTTGCCTTATTCGGGAGGAATTGGACGTCGCACCACATTCTCTATTGACGTGTCTTGATAGACCTATGTTGACTCAGATGTGGAACTGTTGAACGCTCGGCAACGCCTCAGAGCCATTGATTGTTAGACATTCCATATTATCAGGCTCCCTGTAGGCGCTGCAAGATAAACTACCTCGTCCGCAGTTTCTCAGGTTACTATTAAATGTCATCCACGACAATTCTGCCTGACTGATCCTTTCAATCCTGAACTCAAGTTGGCGGCAACCACAATGACCAGCATCAAGGATAGCGGCGAGGTTGCTGTGCAGGAACAACATCAGCACCTGTCAAAGTGGCGCGTCAGCTCGTGAGTCCATTCTCAGAAACGTCGTGCCAAAGCTGACCAGGACCAACGGCAGACCTTTTTTCCAGACCGTTCTGGTTGGAATCGTTCTTTTCCTCAACCCCGGAACCTATCTCGCTATCACAGGGCTCGGCGCCGGCGGGAAACAGCCCGAACTGATTGGGAATCGTCAACGATGCTAATGTCGTTCTTTACACCCTTTTTGGTGCATCTGCGGTTGTTGGTGGCGGCGTGATCAACAAGATCGGGCCTCGATATTCCCTTATGATAGGGGTTACTGGCTATCCAGTGTACTGCGGCTCTCTCTGGTTCGTGTGACAATATCGAATTGATCTGCAATTTCGACTGACATGTGGCCAGGTGGATAGACAAAGGCGAGGGGAAATGGTTCGTGTTATTCGGTGGTGCGTGGTTAGGTCTCTCGGCTGGTATATTATGGGCCGTTCAAGGTAAGAAGCCGACGGCCTTGGGCTCGTTCAATCTGAGGTGTGCTAGGATATGAAATGCATGCACATCGGTGGCACAATGTCAATTCGGTACGCATAGCTGACCTCAGTCAGGATATATCTGCACGTGCTACCCGATGGAGTCTGAAAAGGGCCTCTACATCGCGACAACGTGGATTTTGAATGCTCTAGGTTCTGTTGTTGGATCAGGTAGGAGATTCACTTCTCTGTAATGGCGCACGCTAATGGGTTATTGTAGCCGTTGTCCTTGGAATCAACATCAGCAACACCTCCTCGTCGGGGGTACCGCCAGCGGTATATCTCACCTTCATCTGTCTCGAGTGCGCCGGGATCTTCGTGGCGGCTCTTCTGATGGACCCAAGCAAGATCAGACGCAACGACGGACGACCAATAGCCTCGTTTGATGCAGAATCCTGGTCCCGGGAACTGAAGAGCTTGTTTCTAACCTTGAAAGAACCAAGAATGACCCTTATCACGTTAGCGATCTACAGCTGCGAGATGTACCTGTCGCTATCGGGGTCGTTCAACTCCTTCTACTTTAACTCGAGGACAAGATCATTGGCAAACGTGAGACCATGCGCTAACTCACGCCTGCTGCAAGAGAAAACGCTGACAAGTGAAAACAGTTTTGCTATTGGACCATCCAGATCGTCGGCTCAGCCGCCATCGCTTGGACATGTGACGCAAACATCTTTGGCCGCCGTCGGCGTCGCGCCTTCATCTCCGCCGCCTTCGTTGCCGTTATCATGGGCGGCACCTGGATCACTCTTCTGGCCTTTCTTGCCTCCAACGACTTTGACCGTGCCGGCCCTGTCATCGGCATCGACTGGACGGATGGCCGACGTTTCGCTGGCCCCTTTGCACTCTACATGTTCCTCGGCGCTTCATACCCGATGTTCCAAAACTCTTGATATGGGTGTATAGCACCTTCTCAAACGAGCCGCGGACGCTCGGCCGATACAGCGGGTACTTCAAGGGTGTTCAAGCGTTCGGTACCGCCACGGCTTTTGGGATCGATTCAAGATATGTCTCGTTTCTCCATCAAGCTATTTTGTACGCGACTTTGATGCTTGGGGGGCTAGGCCTGGCGTCAGTTAGTATGAATCGATATACGAGCGATACGACGTACGGTCAGGAGGAAGGGGTCGTTGTACCGGAGGTGTTTGAGGGACGTTACTAAGCGCTAGCGAATTACAGAACTTCACTTTATCAGAGGGTTCTTATTTTCCTCGTCTTGGATTAAAATTGAATTCCATATAGGAGCTGTTAGGCATTCTAGTATTCAATTTTATAGTGACGTAGTTGTAGGCTATCTAGGTGTTTTATGAAGCCTTCTTGTAGTCCACCTTAAGGAGCGAACTTTGTTGTTAGGTGAGTTCAAAGAGTATCAGTGATCTCTATCATTTCGAAGTAATGCAGTGGACTGACTGGTTGTAGCCTGTTGATGGGTTAAGCCGAAAGACATCCATGTGAACTCGAACCATCTTACATGATGCAATACGTCACAAGGCACAATATAAATTGAAAGCTATGCACAAGCTTTCGGTTAAACCCCCCCCCCCCCCCCTCCTCTTACTCCATGATATGTGTTCCACCTGGGGTTAACCAGAAGCTTGCTCGATTCTCAACTTCGTTCTTAGCAATATCAAGATCTTTCAAACAAACGAGCAGAGTATCTTTTCCACACTCTCTCTGGCCAGTCATCTTTCATATGCTGTAGCCAAGCAGCCCACGCCATCCCAACCCAAAATCACAAAGTCGACTGCACCTGTCGCTCGCGCAGCGCCTGCTGCTCACGCGCCGCCCTCCTCTTGGCCTTCTTCTGATTCTCAAAGAAGCAACACAACCCACACCCTGCAACGACACAAAAAAGCACAATCGGAGGCACCGTGATCAGAATTATCATCTGCCGCTGAAGAGCGTTCCCTCCCTGACTCGGATCGCGACAAGTATCATCTTGACATAAATCACCCGTCGGCTCAGGGCCACCGGGAACCCAGTAGTTCACGTACCCTCCCAACGGAAGCTCGGGCGGTGTCGGCGTCAGCGTCAGCGTCTCCGCAAGTGCAATCAAGTCAATTTCGACCCCCAGACTTGTTGAATTAGCTCTTTTTTCTAGCGTTTTTAATTACTTGCCTAACTTGCAATTAAAACAAGTCAATCACTATATAAATGACGTCATATAGACTTCCTAATCGGGTAATTTTGAGGTTATCTACAGCCTCAGAAGCCCTCGAGAAGGCCCCTCGAGAAGGTCCCTCGAGAAGGCCCCCCAGAAGGCCCCTCGAGAAAGCCCCTCGAGAAGAGCCCACCCCCCCTAGAGGGTCCCATAAAGGGGGGCCCTCACGTATGCTAGTATAGCTAGCTGTGCTAATAAGTGAGGCACTAGCTGATCTAAAGCTTCCTATTAGCTAGATTATAAGACATCAAGTTAGTCAAGTCAATCGGAGGGGGTGGATTTGACTACTTGAGGGATGGCGATGGCCTCACTTTGACTAGTTGACTTGAATAGTTTGCCAATCCGATTGCACTTGCGGAGACGCTGGTCAGCGTCGCCCTGTCCGTCTCGTCCCAGCTGATCACCCACGCGGGCTGGATCATCAGGCCCGCGGTGAAGGGCTCCTCCTCGCCCGCGAGTACGGCGGTGTATGTGACGTGGTCCTGGGCGTGGAGTGTGCCGACGCAGATGGGATGGTTGATGGAGTTGGGGCGGCTGCCGTCTGGCCAGACGTCTTCGCCGCTGAGAGATCATGTTAGACGGCGAAGGAAACTCTAAGGGCAGGGATCCGGGGGCTTTACGGTGCGCACCAATAGGCTTTCGTGATGGTCGAGAAAGCGGTCATTCTGTGGGCGTGCCATCCTTCTGGACACACGACAGGGCTGAGAATATGGTTCGAAGGACTGAGCTATACGACGATTGGGTGCGATATAGATAGATCGCTTCAACGTCGCCTCCATCAGCATGGAATCTGGTCCATTGACGCCGCATTTGGCATTGGGGCGGGGCCGCAAAGGGGGTTGTGAGAAGAAGACATCTCGCGGTTGTAGTCGGTGTATCCGTTCTCGTGGAGCAGAGTCGATTGGAATGCTAAAGAAACTGACATCAATGGCGTCCGCAAGCGTCAAGAGATGCTGTCAACTGGAATGTGGTCATGAAGTAGTCAGAGATTTAATACAGACGTCTGAAGTTAGTTTATCATCTCCCGCAAGCGCGTGCTGGCTCGTTGGCAAAGGCTTGAAAAGTGGTAAAGGAACGTTAGCCACTGGCATGTTGTTGGAAGTTGACATGGCATGGACATGGTCCAGCGGATAATGTCACCGCGAATGGAAAGTGCTAATATGCTACGCCTGACTTGGCATGCATGAGGTTGCTCGCTTTTGGCGGAAGTGAATGCGGCGTGGCAGGGAACCTCAGCAAACGAGCATTTTAGCCGGACAGCCAGCATCGATCTGCCATCCATGGATGCCTAGGACCTCGCTTAACCCACAAAAGAACATGACTTTTTAGAACTCAGGCGGTGTCAACTGAGATATTTGAACTACGTGTGGCAACGCCGGGAGTCCAAGACAAAGAAAGCTTTACGCTGGCCAAAGATTTCTGTGGACATGTTATTTAATGTCAACGGCCAAGAACTAGGGTTTCCACAACGGCCAAGGCTCAATCAAAATCATCACCGTACATGAGGTCGTCGTCAAAGTCGTCATCGTCATCTTCATCATCTTCATCGTCGTAATCGGAATTGCCACCTGCCGGAGGCCAAGCCGTATGGAATGCAGATTGCATGGCAGCATAGACACCCGAAATCTGATCCATCTCGCGAGCCAGAATCGCGCAGATGTAGCACGCCTTGGCAGACCCTGGGCCTTTGCAGCCTTTGATAGGGCACTGGCGGTCGGCGTCAGTGTACCGCGTTAGCATGGGAGACGAGTCGTCGTTGAGCTGCCACGGCTCGCGGTCCGCGCTCCGGACCCCAAAGTTCCAGACCATGTAGCCCATGGGACTCATCCCGACTACAAACTCGTCGTCGACGGCGATTTCTTCGATCCCCAGACCGTCATAGAATACCTTCTCGTGCAGCGGGCCCAGGACCAATGTCGAAGACTCGTCGGCCACACATACCGCGCTGTAGCCCCAGACCTTCCCGGCCCATTCGGTGAACTGGTAGATCCCGGGTCCGTCCTCATGCGGCCGCCATTTCTGCAGGTAATATGTCTGCCCATTCCACCTGCGGCCGCCGCTCGTCTCCGGGCTGCCATCGGGACTGCCCCACACGGGCCGTCGCATGCCGAGCTCGTACTCCTCGAAGGTTTCCGAAAACGTCTCCGTGAGCGTGTCGAAGTTGTACCGGAAGACAGGAAGATCGGGAGTGGCCATTTCATTGGGAATAGCCTGGACTAAGCCGTAGAGCCCATGTGAGGTGATTGGCTCGCCGTACCGAACGTATACAAAGGCAGAATCGGGGCTTGACACGCATACTGGTAGATGGAACGAATGCCGGAAAGACTTGGTGTACTTCAAATCCACAAACTTATAGACGGTAATGGCGAGTTCAAGCTCGCTGTCCACGAAACCTTCTAAAAACGCTACCGTGCCATCGATCGTTAGCAGCGAGATTGGGTCGGCAGGATACGCCAAGAAGAGCGCAGCAAGACGGTCGGGAGTGGAACTTACGATCTTCCTCTCCATGTGCAAAGTAGTAGATCACATTGCTTTCGGTCGGGTGAAAAATGAAACCTTCTGGGCGGTCAAGGTCCAAGTCTTCATAATCCTCAGCATCCCTCGTAAAAGGAGGGAGTTGCAGCTTCGCGAGCCCGGTGCCCCAGCGGAACACGTGCGGAACGGCGTAGATTGGGTTGATGATGGAGAACTCAAGCACTGCAGCTTCTGCATGGGCAGTGATTCTCTTGACGCGGTTTGGGAGGGTGACGCGTCGGAACTCCTTTTTATCCATGTGGTAGACGATCCTTTTTCCCGATTAGCTTCTGAATAGGTCACGGGGGTGGATGCCGCAACTTACATGGTGCGGTCGGTGGCGCGGTCTACGAAGATAATGATATTCTCAGTCATGGTCCAGATTACAAAATCTCTCTCGCCCTTTTCCACCAGATCCGGCAGCGCGACGAGGGATCTGGTTGTGTTGCGTAGATCGTCGATGAAGATGGCATAGGGGTCAACATGCCAGGCGAGGCGCCCGCTGGAGTATGCAAAGTGCCTCTCGGTGTGCTCTGAAGGACGAGCGCCTCTTTCAATTGCGCCCTCAACGTACGCGACGGTCTTTTCGTCCATCTCGAATGTTTTGGTCTGCAGAATGTCGTAGAGCATCTCGCTCACGGCGACTGTGGAGATGAACTTTCCATCGATGCGGGGTATTGTCTTGCCTGCGGCGGTGACGAAGGTTTCCCACGGTGAATCGCTGGCATGCGGGTGCGACGACGGCAGAGAAACCAGCGCGGACAGTTCTGGGAAATGAGTAGTCACCAGGTGTTTGGCAACGGAGGGTTCAGTCCAGACGGTGCGCCATCCCTTGGAGACAGCAGCGCAGGCGAGGGCATCCTTCGTGGTCAGATACTCAGCAATCATGGAGACGAGCTCGCTGGGAAGATCAGACATGGAGCTCATCTGCGGTGTTCTTGCGTTTACCATGGTTCGGAGAGCGACGAGCTCCCATGGCGATAAGTTGTCGACGAGGTGCTGCAGGTTGGCGCGGCGGTACAAGATTTCGGAAGCCTGGTCGTCAGCTTTGAGGCGTGAGAACTGCTCAGAAAGCAAGTTCACGGGATCGTTTTTGGTCATCTTGCGGGGACAGGTCTTTGCTTTGCTTAGAATGTCATCGAATTGATGGAGATCTGGAGAGGGGGGGGCACCCGCATTTTGGTGGAGAGACCTGAAGGATGTCGTCCGTCGTGGCGT